CCACCAGGGAGGGCCTACTCAGAGGATTTTTAAAGTAAAATTTCAATGAAAACTTAAATGCCATCCAATATTCTTAGAATTTAAACTTAAAAAATTTACTTGGCTGGCCCTCCCTGGCGGCGCAGAGGGTTAAAACACAGCACTAAGAAGCTTAAGCCACTGCCGCATGAGTTCGATCCCCTCCTGCCCTGGAGGTGACCACATGGAGTGGCAGACCTCTCCTGACCCGCCCGCTGCTCCCCTCAGCAATGTACTTCGTCGATCTCCCTGTCCTGCTCCCCATTCTGTCTCTGGTGAATCCTCTCACTCTCTGCATCTCTGGCCTGTACCCCAGTTCTGTATGAATACATAGATCTTTAAAATTAAAAAAACAAAAACAAAAACAAAAAAAAAACCATTAGGTCCAGGACTTAAAAAAAAACAAATTACTTGGCTAAATGTACAACAACATATTGAATTAATTATATATATATAAACATATATATATGTGTTTATATAAATGTAAACATAATAACCAATATATTATATTGATTAGAACCAATATGTTGTATTATTGGCTGTGAGACAATTTTATTGACTATGTTATACTTACATCAGTGGCTGCTGTTAAGATTTTGGAAAGGATAACTCTAGCCAACCCATCTCTGCTATAGTCCAAGCTAGAAACAGTTAGTTTCAGCAAATGATCTTGGTTTTTCAAGGAGCACAGGTTAAGGAGACTAAAAAAAGGTTGAAAATAATGAATGTTACTAGAAATTACATTAATGATCCACAAATTTAACAAATATTTTAAAATCCCTTATATAAACAAGGTATTAGATAAAACATTTCCTAGCAGAAACAAAACTTTTCTAAAAGAAAGCATTTAATGACAGTTATCACATAAAGTATCAGAGCATCAGATTATTATAAAAAGTTCTTTTTGGCATTTTAACAAAAATTCCAAAACATGTACACAGCCTGAAAAACACTTAAGTTTAGGTATATATTGAAACACAATCTAGGCATGTTTACCATTGAAACACACTGCATTTTTCCAGCATTTTGACTCCATGAGGGTGACAAGAAAGGGTTCCAATAAATAAAAAGTAGTGTTGACTAAGGGTAGTCAATAAACCATTATTTTGAAGACTTCTTTCAGGTTTCATTCCAGATGAGGCATTGAGCCACTGAACAATATCCTTTACTAGATCTTCTAAGTATCCTTGCCCATCCTAAAAATAAATATATATGACATGTTTACAAAGGACACAGTGCCTATAATTAGAAAAATCAACTTTAATCAAATTAAAATTGATTGATACAAAAAAATTAATGATGTTACGTTATCAGGTTAAATCACATAGTACCTATTGTTTACTTTCTCACAACACAATGCCACATGAAGAATGGTATTACTTTCCATTTTACATCTACCATTGTCAGTAGATGTTAACTCCTGTACAGTATCTGATTTCTCCCTGTCGGTGTAGTCCCTGTAGTTGCCCACCATCACCACACCTGTGATCCACTAAAACAGACCTTTGGGCTCTTCCCTCCCTGTTTTAACCCTTGACCTCCCCTTTTGCTGTACAAGACCGATAAAGTCACAAAACTAGCTATTAAGTCAGGACTGAAACTGAGGTCTGGCTTTACTCCCCTGGTTTCTAAATATAGCTTATGCATATTCAGAGAGAAAAGGGATAACTTCAACAAAAAACATTTCATGTGGAAAATATTTAAAGTATTAATTTTACCTCTTCAGACTCGAGAAGAAATTCTGTAAATTGGCAACCCACAACTGTGAGCTGCTTAGACTTGGCAAAATCCAGATCCAGGTTGGCATATAGTTTACTGCTGGGTTTATAAAAATAAAGTAATCTTCGTACAAACCTAAGATTAAAATAAAATAACAAGGTAAGAAACCAACCAAATATTTTAGAATCGTAACTGCAATTTATATAATGAAAAGATTAAAAATATGTTTTGAGTTTAAACTATTGAGGTAAATGTCAAGACATTTAATAAACACATATAGTACATTTCACCCACAAACAAAACAAAAAACCACTTCATTTTGAAGTTTATTGTTGTGGAATAAGCATTTTATGGTAGATGCCTGAAGGAAACAGTAAAAGTGCTAGCAGGAAAAATTCAGATCTAACGTAGTCAGAAGACAAGTTTGGATAAATATGAGGAAGTTTAGATTTCCTTCTACTATATCTTATGAAGAGCTTTTTCCCATGGTGCCATAAAATAAATGTATAGTCAATATTGTAAGCAAATGTTACTGCATTACGATTGCCAGTTTTTTTTACAATCAGGCAAAAAGTAAAGCAAAACTGCAGGTAAAACTTTGCTGCTGAGCCTCCCTGGTGAAGAAAGGGGTTAATTCTCAACACTATGAAGCTATTTGCATCTACTGCAGCACAAGTTTGATCCCTGGCCATGGAGGTGACCCACATTGTGCAGCAGACCTCTCCTGTCCTGCCTGCTGCTCCCCTCAGCAGTGTATTTCAATTAATTCACTTATTCTGTTCCCCACTATGTCTGTGGTAAATCCTCCCACCCACCCCACACCTCTGGCCTACACCCCAGCTTTATATGCGTAAATGAAATAAATCCTTAATAATAATAAAAAATTAGGCAGCTAAATTTATGAAGAGATAATTTATGAGATTCAATATTACAATTTTCAATATGAAATTCCAAGCTTTCATTTAATTTAGCTCAATTTAATTTCATGTACTACAATACAATAAAGTACACAGTTACAGAAAGGAAGCTGAATAAAACATCTGCTGTTTGATGGCCAACAAGCATACGAAAAAATGTTCAACATCCCTTGTAATAAGGGAGATGCAAATTAAAACCACAATGAGATACCACCTCACCCCAGTGAGAATGGCACATCTTCAAACAACTAGCAACAATAAATGTTGGTGGGGATGTGGAGTTTGTTGGTGGGAATGCAAACTAGAACAACCGCTTCATTTCCAAGTCATTTGCTGTTGTAGAAGCTATGGAAAACTGTTTGGAGCTTCCTCAAGCTGCTAAACATGGAGCTTCCCTACGTCTCAGCAATCCCACTCCTTTTGTGTCCCACCCAAAAGACACAAAAACACAGACTCAGAAAGATACCTGCACCCCCATGTTTACTGATGCTTTATTCACAATTGGAAAGACATGGAAACAGCCCAAATGCCCAAAAATGGATGACTGGATTAAAAAGATGTGGTACATATACACAATGGAATATTACTCAGCAACCAAAAAAAAGAATCACATGTCTTTTGCAGCAACATGGATGGAGTTGGAAAAGATCATGCTTAATGAAATAAGCCAGAAAGAAAAGGAAAAATACCGGATGGTTTCTCTCATAGCAGGAATATAATGGAACAGGAGAGAAAATAATGATAATGATGAACAGCTATATACCAGAGATATTTTGTGGGGTTGAGTGGGAAATGGGATCAAAAACAGTGGGGGGAGGGAAATGCACTGGACTATGGTGATGGCACATGGGTGATGTGGTGATGGGAAACCCAGGGGAATTGCAACTGAGATGGAAAAATGCACAAAATATGTAAAAATAAACTATTATAAAAAAAACAATAATAAAAAAGGAAAAAATAAACATCTGTTATTTTTTGTTTTCAAGGAGTGTGAGAAGTTAGTTCTATGCTTCTTTATTCCAATGTAATTTTTATGTCCTCTATATTTCTCAAAACTTAATATAAACTTAAATATCATGAATAGATGAGTACATATTATAATGTTAATGTCATGGCCTCAAACATGAAGGAAAGGCAATCTTATTCAACATGATCAATACTGGTGCTCGATTAGCCTAGACTCAAAAGGAGTAGACACACTAGGGTATATTAGAGAACAACATAATAGCTTGTTGTACATGCCACAACTCAGCATGTTTTATTGAAGATGTAGAGTGCATCAACTTGGTGACATGGAGTTTGAAGAGGAAAAATGGGTAACTGTTTAAAGCCAGATACAAGCAGAAGAAAGGGCCACTGCCTTGGGAAGAAAACACTGTGTCTTTATTACATCATTCCCATACATCAGGGCTAAGACTACTGCATGGCTGACTTACCCTAATTTAAGAAAATTTTTCTTAAGTACATTATTTATTCCAAAAGTAAAAACTAAAATATGGTTAGCTAGAAAAAGAATAAGATGATATGCACCTATTGAATGTCAACTAGTTGAATACATTCATGCATCTTTAAAACACTAATTATGGGCGCTCCCTGGTGGCACAACAGGTTAAAGCGCAGCACTAACCTGTAGCCACTGCGGCACGAGTTTGATCCCTCACCAGGGAAGTGACCCACATGGCACAGCAGACTCTTCTGACCCTCCTGTTGCTCCCTTTCAGCAGTGCATTTCACTATATCTGCCTGTTCTGTTCCCCACTCTGCCTCTGGTTAATCATCTTAACCCCAGACCTCTGAACTGTTCCCCAGTTCTTGAATTCACAAATTAATTAAAACAACAAAAAACAGTAATTATTACTTTTAACAGGCATCAGATGTAAAAAAATCCAAATAAAATTTTCTTATATTGAAATGCAAACAATTTTCACATACCTGTGTAGTTGCTCATCTTTATAGTTTCTTAGGTTTACATTTGGCCACTACAAAAAACATATATGTATTTATCAATTTCCAAACATATAATTATGATAAATTACAATGAATAACAAAATGAAGACAATTACGTTAATTTCCCAAAATTATCTGTCATACCTTAAGAATGGTCCCTATAAGATTCCAGTTCCATTCAAGATTCTCTTTATGTTGAAGGACCTGGCTATCTCTGAGGTTCATCAAAAGAGCTTCTTCTGTATCCTAAGATCATCAAGAAGTAATTACAAAAATAGGCACACTGTATTCACACCAGAAAACTATGTTCAAATCTTTAAAAGAAAAATATATATTTTTAAGGTAGGTTACCATGTTTTTTCTTAAAACCACCTATTTCTAAAACTTTAAAGTCATTTGAAACTCTATAAACATCCAAAACTGTAAATGCAAACAAGCATACATATACATATACTAAAATCCAGTGGTTAAATAGAGAAATAACTTAAAAATCACCCATTTCATGTCAGTACCTTAAGAACAAATATATCTTTCTGAACTCGGAGATACTGATCCCGTTTCTGGTGGGTTGCAATTGCTTTCTGAATAATGTGATCTAAATGAAGACTATAAGGCTTAGGTCCTCTTTTTTTCATTTCATGGAAACGTTTTAAACAGTTTAAGGCTGCACTGGCTCGCCTAGTGAAAAAAACATTCAATGAATACAGTAACAAGGTTAACATAATTTTAGAGAGAGCAATTAGATAAACTATTAAAACAAATTTATGGATAAAGAGTGTTACTGAAAAGTATATTATATAATAAAAATCTGGAATCCCACCCAAAATAAAAAAGACTACCGACTTATATGATTATATTACACTAATTCTTTAGACTCAACTAAACATGTACTTATTAATGTTTTCTGTTATGGTCATGGGCACTTTCTGTATATTGTTTTTAAAAACCCCTTCCATAAAGTTAGAAACCTGATTTTCTATATTCTCTTCCTAAAGTTTTCAAACTTGGCTTTTCACAGGTTAGGTACCTAATCCCTCTGAAACTGATTTTCGTGAATATTATAAGGAATATAATTTCACTTATCTGTCATATGGATAATCAATAATCCCAGCTCCTAGTGTCAACGAACAGTCTCTATTTTCCCTAGTGGTAATATAAACTTTAAATCTTCTATTAAAAATTTTAAATCTTTGCGGTACATAAATGTACAGTTTTCAAGAATTTGATAGTCATCAAGTTTCGTCTTCAGAACTTCTGGTATGTGCAAATTAAATCTAAAATTTTTAAATCTTGAGATGTGTTTAGATTGGCAAGTTTTTACTCTTAGTTAAATAGAGCTTGCTGAGCTTAAAACAACAAACAAAACACTCTAAGAAGTCTACCCACTTCCAGAATCTTGAAGGTTAAGTTTGAATTTCCTGATGAATACTGAAATCCCTGATCATAATCTGATCTGGAGAGTTTAGGATAACAGGGTGTAAGGGAAAGTACACTTTTCCTTCATGACACTACTAAAATAAAAACTAAAAGCTTTCATTGTTTATGCTTCAAGTCAGAACTCAGGAAATCTCTCATGTCCTCAGTTTTTAATACAACTTTACTGACAAAATTAAAACTAATAAATGAATCTTTATTAAGAGGCTCATGTGTATACCTATATTAATAAAGGTAACTAAATTTTTAGAAATATATTCTATCAATTAAAAACTCAAGAGTTTCGGCCCTCCCTGGTGGCGCAGCGGGTTAAAGCACAGCACTGAGAATCTGAAGCCACTTCCGCATGAGTTCGATTCCCGCCTACCGCCTGCC